GTCATCATGAATCCATTATTTATTCAGACCTTTAAGGACTGTGAAATGTAACTCTTGAGATTCTGATCTGGTGAAATCTGGTTTGTTACCTTGCTACTAATTATTCTGCCAATAGAAGTCCAAATGAAATCAGGTGTCAGGATAGACGGGGATCATATCTACTTAGAAATCATTCTAACACACTGTGAAAATATTTACAAGCTTCCAAGATGAGACTTTTCCTGATTAGGGAAATCAAAGAATAGTTTTCCCAGCAGGCCTGCAGTTAGCTCATCCAAATTGCTTCTGTTTTAATTGGCATGCATTTCCTCTAAGCAGCTAGAAGATGAAAAATATTTGACTTGGGCTCTACAGGAATGGTAGCCCGTTCCCCAAGATACAGCCACTGTGGAAGAAAAAAACCAACCAACAAATAATTCAAGTTTGTGGTGCATTTGTACAACAAAAGTTCATGACATCTTTGACAAACAAAATCCCAGAGCAGGGTGAAGACTTATTCTGACTTTTTAATGAGAAAAATAAGGATAGTATTTTACTTAGGCTTTCTAGTATGTGGAGTCTTTTTCTGCCTGAAGTGAATGTAGGTGGGTCACTATTTTGTCTTTTTGTCCACAGGGTACTGTTGTTTTTCAAACTACAGTTTAGGAATTTTTTTTACTCAAATTTCTTGTTTTTAAAGCTTGTTTCAGACACATTGGTGAGGAAAAAAAACAATCTTCATTGCTCAAATTTCTTGTTTTTAAAGCTTGTTTCATACGCATTGGTGAGAAAAAAAAGAAATAATCTTCATTAAAAGCTACTGCTTTTGGAAGAATAGCGTAACGTTGTGCATGAAAGTAGTTTTTAAGTTACTGGAGGCTTTTATTTCTCTTTTGCTGAACATGTCTATGGAGGACTGGGTCGTGGAGAATGGTGATACCAGGTGCATGTAACTGAGGAGGAAACTAAAAGCTACTGCTTTTGGAAGAATAGCGTAACGTTGTGCATGAAAGTAGTTTTTAAGTTACTGGAGGCTTTTATTTCTCTTTTGCTGAACATGTCTATGGAGGACTGGGTCGTGGAGAATGGTGATACCAGGTGCATGTAACTGAGGAGGAAACGGTTGTGTGCTGAATGGTGTCCAAAGCTGCTCTAGGATTTGAGGGCAATGGCTCTTTGTGGCCGGGGAGGCATTTGGTTATAAATGAAAACCATTGGACCACACTATAGATGATGGTCTTTGGATGGGAAGAGACTGAGCAGACTTTGGGTTAAAGAGTTTGAGAAATTTGGGGCTGGAAGCTCTGAGGGGGTCAGGGCTCCTCTGACAAGAAAGGGAGAAGTCCTTGAGCTCCCTGGCTATTTCCCATCTCTGGTGCAATGCACCTTCTGCTGAAACGTGTGGTTTGCTCAGCCTTGTTCCCTTTGACTGTTGGAGATGATATTCCTCACCCAGTTAGACCCATAGCAGTGGGATTAGTTTCAAGCACCACTGGCTCAGCCTTGTTCCCTTTGACTGTTGGAGATGTTATTCCTCAGCCAGTTTAGACCCATAGCAGTGGGATTGGTTTCAAGCACCACTGGTTATCTTTTTGTCAACTAGTTATGCAGACTTGCCCTATACTAATGGAAGCATCCCTGGGGTGCCAGCTTTTTAAAAATCAGGATTTCACCTGTATTACATCCAGATATTGAAAAAAAAAAAAAATATCAGTATTTTGAGTATGTTTTGTAAAATAATCCCTTCCCTAACCTCCTCCTCCCCCAAAATGTCAAACAAAACCCCCTACCCAAAGCTAGTGCAACACTTGCATTTCTTGTAGAAGAGACTCTAAACGTCACCCACTTCTAGCAATTTGATCCATTTTGGAGATGCAGAGCCAATAGTCCAGCTGATGGGAGAGTATTTTCTCATGCCTCAAGTCTCAAGATTTCTATTCCTCAGCTCCTGTTAGAGGAATATTAACCTCTTGGGAAGGGTGGGGTGGTCGTGTGTCAGTCATGGTGACCTGGTACATGTTCTGGCAAAGTTCCTGGCCTTTTCATAAAAGAGATTGAAGGCTGGAATGAAGCCTGCATATCTTATTCCAGGGGATTAGAGAGATGTGTTATCAGTGAATAACGTTAGTCATGTTTTGTGCTCTTTGTATTTTACCATTTGCCTTTCAAAAACGTGGGATGGTGTTTCCCTGGTGTTGTAACATCAGGTGAATCATGAAGAGCACGAACTCTGAGTGATACGTTTTTAAAGCACTGAAGGAAGCGTAGACTTCATATTTGTTGTTTATTGATTAATATTTAATTGAAGGTGAAATAAAAAATTAAGCAGGCAAATGACTCAAACATGCTAAAAAGCAACAACACTGTCTTGCTGTGGCTGACAAATGACAATGAGTTTCTAAGAATAGCAGCAAATACATTAATGTATAGTGATGGCACAGTGAGTCAAAAGAGATGCTTTGATTGAGAGTGGTGGACACATCCCACAGGAAAAAATCATGCAGAAAACATCTTTGATCCTGAGTTTAGTACCCTTTGCAGCACGAATTACATGGGTAGATGGTTCTCCTCAGAAAATACTAATAGTTGTCTTTTCACCGTGGAGTTATGTAACAGTGTAAGAACAATTTTATTTTATTAGAGGAATGTTTAAAAAGGCCACAGGATTGGCAAAGCCCTATAAATTCTCCGTTAGGTGAATGGCTTTCTTTTTTTTTAACATCATGGCTGTTTTAGCCACCCAGTGCTCAAGGTCTTGAAGTTTACTTATCTTAGGAAGAGATTCTTTTTTGCCCAGTGGAAGTAAATAGCAGTCTGTCATTTTAGCTGTTCATTATTATTAATGATGCCTTATTTTTCACAACATTTTTCTGGGTATTCTTTCTCGTGATCAAGTCTGAGCCTGCTTTTTTGATGTGGCTGTCGGCAGCAACTTATCAGAGATGAAACCAGGAAGAGTCTGAAATGCTGATTTTAGGAAAGGGGGGGGCACATCATCAGTGCAGACTGTGGTGATTCAGTGCCTCTTAGGATGAAATCTGTTTTACTGGGCATCTGTGACATTTCTACCCTGCAATTTCTCCAAAATAACGCTACAGGCTGATCTTATTTCTGTTCAGAATACGGATCCATCCTGCTTAAAAACAGATAAAGCACTAGTGAGTAAAGTCTTTTCTGCATGCTATACGTAGGGAATTCTCTAGAAGTGAGTTGATACTGCGAGCACTGCCCAGCCTGCAAGCATGGAAAGCTGAGTGTTGTTGACAGAGCACAGTATCTCCTCCTTGGCTATTGCTTGGTTATTGCTAAAGACCCTTTTTAATTACTATTTCCAGTTTCTCTTTATTGCTCACTGTAAGCCGCATTTTGTGCTGAAATTCTTCTTTTCTCGTGAACTTGAAAAGCAATATGTGAAATCAAGGTTGGGAGAAGTTCTTAGCACTAGAATATATATCAATAAATAGGATAAGCAGAAGAAGTATGTAGCAGTTGACCGCTAATTTAATTGCATTCTGTAATATTGTAGTGAAACTTTGGTATTTCTTTCTTCTTTTTTTTTTCCCTCCACAGAAATCAAAGGGATGTTGAGTCTTTATCTGTAAATGAGAGGGCAGGTAGAGGTTTGGTTTGTCTAATTGAACAAGGTATATTAGACAGCTCCAAAGCAGATAATGTCACTGTGGGCAAAGAGGAATTAATAAAGTGGGCCTGATCTTTCTTGCATGCAAAGCGGTGGCAGTGCAGTTAGATCCGTGGAAATACCAAGCCTACGTGTTATATTAACTATATGTGGGCAGGAGATTAAAATTATTGCACAAATATACAGTTGGGACTTGAAACACTTAGGGATCCTCTTCATGTGTGTACTCATTTCCACTGTGTATTGCTGTACCTACACAGTTCCAAATATGCACTTTGACTGTGCCAGGTTATTCAGTCATTAGGCTGATGGTGTGCTCTTTTAAAGATCATTTTTCTTATAAGAAAACTATTCTGAGAGCTATAGATTAGGCAGTGCGTACGCATTAACCCACTTGAGGCAAGAAAGAAACCTTTAATCTCTGTTAAAACTCTCCGTGCTAAATATAATAGCTGGTTTCAGCAGTATTTAAACCAACTTCATTAGAATATGGGAAGGGGAAGCAGGTTTTAAAGGCTGGTTTTAGCAAGTAATCAGCTGTCTCCCAGGTGGTCCAAATGTGACTTGTTCAACACCAGGGGGAGGGAAAAAAAAGAAAGAAAAATATAAAAAAGAAAAGAGAAAACCTGACACCACCCTGTGTACATGTGTGTGTGTTGGGTCCACGCTCACAGGTTTTTCGCTGTGCAGGTTGTAGGGGTGGGGGGGTCACAGCCCCTGCTGAAGGAAGGTGGCCCAACAGTTGCCCTGGGTGAGACCTGGCTCTGCCGGCTCAAACCCGGGCACTTGTGTGTTCTGTCTCCTCTCTGGGATGTCCTTCCTTTCACACAAGGCAAGGCTGCAAGATGTATTTAAATGTATTCTGCATTTGTGACGCTGGCTCTAGTTTATCCACCAGTTTTACTGTCCTTGCACTGAAAAACGGTCTTGCTTTAGCCCATTATGAAAACTAGTGGCGTTTAACTAATTTTTGTTACCTTGTAGCCTTTACGAGAGCGTCTTTGTTCTTGTCAGATGAAAGATTGATGTGGCTGTGTGAAGCAGAGCACACACCGGAGGTGCATCTTGCATACCGGCCTAGTCGCTTGCTTATTAATATTCATGAGCCATCTCATTTAGTGGCTGCTCTTGGGACTTGATTAAAGTAAGCAAGGCTGCTATTGGTGCTTCAGCTGCAGAGAGCTTTATCTGAGCCAGCGTTATCCCTGCTGTCGGTGCTAGCTCTGACTACCTGCAGCATCTTACAGGCCATCTGCAGTGCTTCTGCAGAGCTTTTCTTCAATGATGAGTCAAACGGCAACGATAGAATAAATTAGGAATCACCTTTGTAAAGCGTTATTGCTCGCTTTTGTAATGAATCTTTTTCTGTTTGTTCCCAAAGGTCCAGAGGAAGAAATGACCATGTAGATTCTACAGCTTGGGTGCAGCATAATGGGAAATGGTGAATGGAGTGGAGCTGGTCTGCAGCCTTGAAAGCAGCCGTTCTGCGGACCACTAGGCAGTCAGGGACACCTTCCACGCCAGAGGCATCTCCACCTCGCTCGCTGGACACACACTGGATTCTTTTTAATTTCTGAGGTCGGAATTCAAGATTCCTTTCCTTCAATTTTTAAACAGTTTTAAGATTGTATCAACTATAACGAGTGGAGCAATATAATCAGCAACAATGGGTGACATGACAAATAGCGATTTTTATTCCAAGAACCAAAGAAATGAGGCCAACCATGCAGGAGAGTTTGGGTGCACACTGCAAGAACTGCGCTCCCTCATGGAACTTCGAGGAACAGAAGCAGTAGTAAAAATTAAAGAGACATATGGGGAAACAGAGGGGCTCTGCAGACATCTGAAGACATCACCAACAGAAGGTAAGCACGCTTCCCTTCACTTGAATTGGGACTCTGCATAAGGGCTCTCCAGATAGTGAAAGACAGAGGTTTTTGTTTTAAACCTGAACACAATTCTCATGGTGTTACCATTATTCCCAACAATAGTAAAAGAGAAGAAGAGTCTTAACAGAAAGAAGATAAAAACAGCCTAGCTATAGCTAAAGCTAGCATGAGAATAAAAGAGGTGCTGTTTATTCAAACAGCTAAATGCATTAATTCTTCCTTAAAAGGCAGACAAAAACAATCAGCACTTGTTTTATGGCATTATAAAGAGGCTTTAGCATATATGCTCTTCAGGGTAAGAAGGTGCATACTAGTTGCTTTGGAAGAATATCCAGGTATTTAGATGTCTTGAGAATAAGAAATGACCTTTTGAGATACACGTTATGTTACTTTATGGATCATTATGTAATAAGTAGATTTTGTGGTTACTAATCTTGACATTGACAGTGGTGGGATGTTTCTCTCTCCTCAGGCAATTTTCCTGTTCACCAATTCTTTCTCTTTTAGTGCAAGTAAAACTCTGTTTAATTCTAAGAATTCTATTTTCATCACTGCATTTTCATATCCAAGGAATATTAACACTTTTGGAAATGATACAATCTTTGAGTCTATAATATTTATCTTGTCTTGTAAAGTAGCCAAGATGTTCCTTTTATTTTCTTTTTCAAGAAGATAGAAGTGTTGGCTTTATTCCGTTCTCTCCTTATTTAAATTTAATCATTCAGTTAACTCTTCTGTTTAAATGCTGGAAACTCTTGAATTATTGGTGTAATCACAAACATGTCAATTATAGCATCACATAGTGTGATATTATAAATTGCACTAGTTGAAGATTCCCAAAGGAGCAGCTATCAATGTCTAGTCTTCAAGTAAATTCTTCATGGTCCAACACTTGATCATATATAGTCTCAGTATTGCTTAAACATTATAAACTATAAAGCTGTGAACAGTACCTCTTCAGCAAAGGATTATTAACCTGATTGTGTATTAAAACGAGCAGCCAACTCAAATAGCGCTCAGCATTCATGTGCAATCTTGCATCTGGAGTAACTAGTGGCAAATGGAACATTTTGTAACTGATCTCTCCCATTTTCTAGTCTTGCCCAAATATCTGGTTCTTCAGACAGGACCTCTTTTCCTACCTGTGGATTGCTCCCAGTAGGAGCGCTGAGGCAGGAAAATGAGACCCTGCCACTTGTCTGGGATTTCCAGATGTCTGTGGGTCTTTTCTTGTAGCCTAATAGCTGTTGTACAGGAGAGGATGAGCTCTTCAGAGAATGTGCAGTGATTCTGACACATCCCTGACACATCTGGGGAATTCCAGAGAGAAGTGAAGGATCTCTATATTTACATAACAGAATAAACACTGATTTATAAATATTCCACTGGGGATTCAGCATCTTAAATATCCCTTAGTGGTTTATAGAATGTCAAAGATGAAGTCTTGGTCTGGGTGAACAGAGGCCACTTGAGTGACTTCAGTAAAGTTTTGCCAACTCACTCTGGCGGTTACCTGGTCAATGTGAACTTCAAAGGAAACATTCACTGCATTATCTGTTCAATTTGTGACATCAGGGAAACTTAATTCCTCATATCGGAACAGGGTGTATGGATCCAACTAGTGTGGCATGCTGACTCCAGCAGTAATCTATCTCTGATACTTCAGATAAGGTAACTTTCCTCTAAGCCTTACGTGCACTTCATCACTTGTGCATTAGGGAAAAACCTCTCCAGCTTCAGATGGCAATCAGCATAGCCTTGGAATCATGAAGGCTCTGCTGGGTTTTAATTTTAAATTAGATCACATAATAGGAATTCCCAGTCACACTAAGTTTTCATCTTATTTTTAATTGTTTTGCTTGGAAAAATTGTTTTAGGAGGAAATCTCTCTGAAATATGTCATGTCAAACTCAGAAATTCTCATTTGAGAGAAAGTATCCGTAAGAATTCAACAGAAAAACTTGAAAGGCTTATGTCAAATATAAGCATAGGTTTTGACGTAGGTCCCTGATCATTGCTTTTCTTTTATCCAAGCACAGTAAAGAAAGTTAAGATACAGTGAAGAGGATATTTTGAAGATATGACTATTTTTAGAGGACAGAAACATAATAGTTTCTTATATGGAAATGGAATTTTAATTTTATGTAGACATGATTTACAAATGAAGTATTGAGATAAGTAGTGGAGGCTCCCGTAGAGTTTTCTCTTTTGGTATGTGCAGCAAACCATGGATCCCCCATGGAATATCTTTATGAAATCCCGTAATTTGCCACTGTGGCTTTTCCAACCAGCCTCTTTTTTGGTGAAGCACAACTGAACTTCAGCTATTTCTTTATAGTTTGGAGTGCTGCACATTTTACACAGTTTTATGAGGTATAAGAGAATAAGCATTACTGCAGGGCACTACTTTTTCTTTCAGTAAACCCAATAAATTCTTGCCAAGCAAGAATTCTGGGTGAATATGAATGAAATAGGAAGGAGGACTTGACCGTAGAATTTGATTCTGCCCAGGCTTGTTAAGCTCTTTCAGAATTTATTTTCATAAAGTCTTTGTCATTTTGTGAGCTAGTTACTGGAACAGAGGAAAAAAAAACGTATCCTAGAAGCAGACACATTATAATTTGGTAAAATTATACACATATTAATACAAAATATTTTGTGTGAAATCTGAATTTACTGGCTTACTCAATATTTAGAAAATAAGAAGTAGCAATTGGCTCAGAGTTTTCTCAGCAATTCATTTCCCATGTTAATATTTGATGTGCCACCTATGGACTGGTAGAATCAATCACTTGTACTGAAAGTGCCTTTTTGAAGCTCTGTTTTAAAGGCCTTGAACTTCTCAAGGTAAGACATTTTATGCATAACTCAAATGTTACTTTTACTGTCGTGAAACTAGACCTACCAGTGTTTTCTCAACTCATGTATTAATCAGCGTGGAGCTTTAAAAGTGTGCTGGATGCTGAGTCTAGTAATATTTGCATGCTGAGCAAATTCATGACATTACTATGGATTGCAAGGCTTCCGTTTCTTCTTCATATTTTCTTTGGTTGCTTTTCTAGCTATAGATGCAGTGTGGGTCCCAGCTCTTAGTTATGCCTAAGGGATTTCCTGCTTTGAAGTGATTATATTATAATGAAAAGCTACCATTTAAGTGCTCATAAAAAGAACCTCCCCAACATCTATGGAAGTACTTTATATGAAAAAATACCAATATGCGTCTCCTTGAATTGTCCTTAAAAATATTTTCGTTCAGATTAGTTTCACTTTCATTATTCTAATAATACGGAAACGGAGCAGGATGTAGCTGGTATTTTGCAAAACAACACTGGATCCCCCGCTGGGCAGAGCTGTGCTGACAGTTGTATAATTTTCCATGCAATCTGAGTCTCCGAGGCCCACTCGAGCATTAGTGATACCTTATAAAGGACAGCTGGTAAAACGTGATGAGTTAGTTGGATGAATACCAAATGAGACTGGAATCCACTCCTTCCAATGCTTGACTGTACTTCACCCACAATTTTATATTATCCACCAATTTACAGTAAGATTTTAATCTACATCCCCTTCATATTGCAAAAATGTTTATTCCTTAGAAGACTTCAGCAAGGCTTTTGACACTGTGTCCCATAACATCCTCATTAGAAAATTAAGGAAGTATGGGCTAGATGAGGTGGATTGAGTCCTGGCTGTGTGACAGAACTCAGAGGGTTGTCATTAATGGAGCAGGGTCAAGTTGGAGACCTGTAACCAGCGGCGTCCCCCAGGGGTCAATACTCAGCCCAGTCCTGTTCCACTTACTCATCAGTGACCTGGACGAGGGGACAGAGGGGTATCCTCAGCAACCAGTGACCTGGACGAGGGGACAGAGGGTATCTTCAGCAACTTTGCTGATGATACTGAACTGGGAGGGCTGGCCAACACTCCAGAGGGCTGTGCTGCCATCCAGTGTGACCTGGACAGGCTGGAGAGAAGAACCTCATGAGGTTCACCAAGAGCAAATGTAAGGTCCTGTACCTGGGGAGGAAGAACCCCAGGCACCAATATAGGTTAGGGGTGGATCTTCTGGGAAGTACTACTGAGGAAAAGGATCTGGGGTCCTGGTGGATGGCAGGCTCTCCATGAGCCAGCAATGGGCCCTTGTTGCCAAGAGGGCAAATGGAGTCCTGGGCTGCATAGGGAGAAGTGTGGCCAGCAGGTCGAGGGAGGTCATTCTCCCCCTCTACTCTGCACTGGGGAGGCCACAACTGGAATACTGCATCCAGTTCTGGGCTCCCCAGTTCAAGAGGGACAGGGAACTGCTGGAGAGAGTCCAGCGTAGGGCAACAAAAATGATTAATGGATTGGAACACCTTCCTTACGAGGAAAGGCTCGAAGAGCTGGGGCTCTTCAGCCTCAAGAAGAGAAGACTGAGGGGAGACCTCATCAATGTTTACAAGTTCCTAAAGGGTGGGTTGAAGGATGATGGAGCTGGACTCTTTTCAGTGGTTTCCAGCGATAGGACAAGGGGCAACGGGCACAAGCTGGAACATGGGAAGTTCCACTCAAATATGAGGGAGAACTTCTTTATGGGGAGGGTGGCAGAGCCCTGGCAGAGGCTGCCCAGGGAGGGTGTGGAGTCCCTTTCTCTGGAGATTTTCAAGCCCCGCCTTGATGCAGTCCTGATGAGTGATATGCTCTGGGCAACCCTGCTTTGGCAGGGGAGTTGGACCAGATGGTCTCTAGAGGTCCCTTCCAACTCTGTCAAATCCGTGAATCCAGTATTGAATTAACTTCCATGATTTCTTGTTTAAATACTTGGAGGCAGTAATTTCCAATGTGCATGGGATATCATTCCAATATTATTATAGCTGGCTATAATGATGCTTCTTTCATTTTTATATAAAGAAAAAGCTTTCCCTGTGGTGATATGTGTGTGATTAGGCCTGAAACAGCAGCTCCAAAAAGATGTTACACAGTGGTGATAATGTTACAGC